AGTAGCTTAATGTATGGCACCATATCAAATTCTTATTGTTGATTATTCCATGAGTGATGGTATATGAAAATGGTGGTGTTTTGCTACAGTTAAGCAGGTCAAAGAAGGTCAGTCATTCTATATCTGTGATGAGGTGCTTTATCTTATGAGGAAATGTTGCATAGGCAGGGCCTAAATCCTTTGGAGTTCATAAGAATGAGAGATGATTTTATTGAAACGTCTAAGATCCTAAAAGGACTTGACAGGGTGGACGCTGAAAGGATGATTCCTGTGGGAGTGACTACAACTAGCAGTTGCACTTTTAAAATAAGCCATCTCCCATTTAAGACGTAGATGAAAAGATATTTCCCCACCCCCTCAGTATGTTCCAAGTCTGTGGAATTCTCTCTCCCAGACAGACATGGAGGCAGAGTTTTGGAAAACATTTTAGGCAATGGTAACTAGATTCTTGACTAACAAGGGAGTTAATGGTCACTGGTGATAGGTAGTAAATGGAGTTGAGGCCACAAACCAATATTGAATGGTGCAGTAGACAAGGCTGAATAGCTTATTCATGCTTCTAATTCATAACTTTGTTCAATCAACTTTGTATCTCTTGCCTTTTTGTTCCACGGTCTTCATATTTGTACAGAAACAGTGAATTGGCATTTTATCAAGTGTCATTTGAAACTCCGCATACACCACTTCAACCACATAACTCTCATCAACCCTATGTTAATTCATCAAAACACTTAAGTGTGAAATTACTATAGCTTTAAGGAGTGTATTTTGTCCTTTTCTTCAAAAAAAAAGGTTGAGACAGAAGTAGCACACAGTCTGTTCCAAACCAATAAAATAAACTACTTAGGCCTTAATTTTTTTTTAAGCTGGAACAATAGCGGCAGCATGAATGGGCAGAGGCAGGCTCCCACAGAACCAAGGTTTTAGTTTAGCTTTCAATAGTTATTAGGAGTTTTGAAGCTGCCATACATCTCTCCCTGCTGCAGCAAAATGCTTGAGTTCTCTCTTTCTGTGCCAGAATTTTCTCTATGTTCTTTCCTTCTGTACTGGAGACACATTATCTCACATGCAAATTATTTTATTGGCTGCCTTTGAGCAGGGTGCATTTATGGGATGTTACTATATTGGAACAGTTGCTGTTTATTCTGTTACGTTTTCTCATAAAGTTAGACCAATTCTCTTCTTTTTGTTTGCATTTTAACTGCAGAGTAAGAATAAAGTGTGTTTTGCTTAAAGTAGTAAATGAAAGAGAAAAACTGACTTAAAGAGGCAAAGGTTGAAAGTAGGAGTTGTGACGAGGACAATGATAGAGAGCAAACCCATCATAGCTAAAATCCTGAAGACCTGTTTAAGTATGCCCAAGCATTGCCAAAGTTTGATGAAAACAATGTAGAAGTCATTTTTTGTTTCCATTTCATTAGTGAAAGTAGCTAAACAAAATGAAACGGCTGGTGATCATATGGGGATTGTTGATTCAAACAAAATTGGTAGGTAGAGCTAGTGAGGTATTCTCACTCAGAGGAGTGATGTGAACTTCACCTGACAAAGGAGCAGTGCTCCAAAAGCTTGTGATTTTGAATAATCCTGTTGGACTATAACCTGGTGTCCTGTCACTTTGGTGTTAGCCACACACAGTCCTGCTCAGAATGGATTCCTTGTTTGAATAAGGCTTCTATTGGAGACTTAAAGATCAACAATTTACCAGAGATCATCTTGCTATTAGAAGTCCCTTCAATTATGTGATTCAGTGAGTGAACTATTTTAAAAGGGTGCTGGAAGAGCACAAAGACAGCCACACTGGTAGGGTCAGAAGAGATTTAAATGTATCCATTCCCTTAACATTCCCACCACCACTGTATTTGACGCTTCCTCCATTCAACATTCCCTTCCATTTCTGTCCCATACAGCTGAGGCAACCATAATCCTTTTTCCATACCCCTGTGTACATACCCCAATGAACTAACTCTTCTGTTCTGAAGAAAATAATGATTGGACAGAAAGACATATTGAGGGAACTCCTGCATCAGCTATCTGATATTCACCCATTCCCTTACTGCTTGCGTACTTTAACCAGTGGAATGACAATCTCTAGATGTGTTATTCACACAAAGAACAAAGAAAATTACAGCACAGGAACAGGCCCTTCAGCCCTCTAAGCCCACACTGACATGGTGTCTGTCACAACTAAAACCCCCTATCCTTCTGGGGGAACCGTACCCCTTTATTCCCATCCTATTCATGTATTTGTCAAGATGCCCTTTAAAAGTTACTATAGTAACTGCTTCCACTACCCCCACCAACAGCGAGTTCCAGGCACCCACCACCCTCTGTAAAAAAATCAAACTTGCCTCATACATCACCTTTAAACCTTGCCCCTCGTACCTCAAACATATGGCCCCTAGTAAATGACATTTCCACCGTGGGGAAAAAGCTGCTGACTGTCCATGCCCTTCATAATCTTGTAGACCTCAATCAGGTCTCCCCTCCACCTCCATCGTTCCAGTAAGAACAATCCAAGTTTCTCCAATCTCTCCTCATAGCTAATGCTCTCCATACCAGGCAATGTCCTGGTAAATCTTTCCTGTACCCTCTGCAAAGCCACCACATCCTTCTGGTAGTGTGGCGACGAGAATTGAACACAATATTCCAAAAGCAGCCTAACTAAGGTTCTATAAAGCTGCAACATTACCTGCCAATTTTTAAACTCAGTGTCCCGACTGATGAAGGGAAGCACGCCACATGCCTTGTTGACTGCCTTTTCCATCTGCATTGCCGCTTTCAGTGACCAGTGTACCTGTACACCCAGATTCCTCCGCCTATCAGTATTCTTAAGGGTTCTGCCATTTACTGTATATTTTCTATCTGGATTAGACCTTCCAAAATGCATTACCTCACATTTACCCAGATTAAACTCCATCTGCTATCTCACTGCCCAAGTCACCAACCCATCTATATCCTTTGATGGTCCTCATCGCTATCTGCGATTCCAGCAATCTGTGTGTCACGGGCAAACTTAATCAGACCAGCTACATTTTCCTCCAAATCATTTATATATTACAAACAGCAAAAAAAGGTCCTAACACTGATCCCCGAGGAACGCCACTAGTCACAGCCCTCCATTCAGAAACACATCCTTCCACTGCTACTCTGTCTTCTATGCCCCCGTCAGTTTTTTTCCACCTTGCAAGCTCACCTCTGACCCTGTGTGACTTTGCCTTCTCTACCAGTCAGCCATGAGGGACCTTGTCAAAGGTCTTACTTAAGTCCATGTAGACAACATCCACTGCCCTACCCTCATTTATCATCTACGTCACGTCCTTAAAAAAAACTCAACCAAGTTAGTGAGACACGACCTCCTCTTCACAAAACCATGTTGCCTCTTGCTAATACGCCCACTGATTTCCAAGTGGGAGTAAATCCTGTCTCTAAGAATCCTCTCCAGTAACTTCCCTACTGATGCAAGGCTCACTGGCCTGTAATTAGCTGGATTATCCTTGCCACCCTTCTTAAACAAAGGAACAACTAACCAATACCGGCTACAGGGGAGGTCCCAGGGAACTGTAGGATAGCCAAAGGTTTCCGAGGTCCCAGCAAATTCCTCCCTTGCCTCTCTCAGTATTCCAGGGTATATCCCATCAGGTCTTGGGGAGTTGTCTTACCTTAATTTTTCAAGACCCCTAATAACTCTTCCCTTTTGATCTCAACATGACCCAAAATATCTACACACCCTTCCCTAGACTCATCATCCACCAAGTCCTTCTCTATGGTGAATACTGACACAAAGTATTCATTTAATACCTCACCTATTTCCTCTGGCTCCACACAAACTCCCTTCCCTGTCCTGGAGTGGCCTGGCTACCCTCTCGCTGTTTATACATGAATAAAAAGCCTTGGGATTTTCCTGAATCCTGTTGGCCAATGACTTTTCATGACCCCTTGCTTACGTTTCTTTTGACTTTCCTTGTATTCCACCCTTGCTTCATGTGTTCCCAGTCTCCTAGCCTTGATAAATGCTTCTTTTTATTTTTGATTAGGCTCACAATCTCTCGTTATTGAAGATTCCCTAAACTTCCTATACGTATCCTTCATCCTTACAGGAATGTGCCAGTCCTGAGTTCCCAGCAACCTACACTTGAAAGCTTCCCACATCCTATATGTTGATTTGCCCTCAAAACATCCACCTCCAATCTATGTTCTTCAGCTCTGTCTAATATTTTTGTAATTGGCCTTCCCCCAATTTAGCACCTTCACCTGACAAATACACCTATCTTTATCCATCAGTACCTTAAAGCTTACTGAATTGTGATCACCATTCGCGAGCTGCTCCCCTACTGAGAAATTGACCACTTCACCAGGCTCATTCCCCAATGCTAGGTCCAGTACGGCCCCTTTCCTAGTTGGACTATGTACATACTGTTTCAAGAAACCCTTCTGGATGCTCCTTACTTCTCTACCCCATCCAAGCCTCAAGCACTAAGTGGGTCTCACAGGATCAGCAATACCAGCTGCTGCTCAAACTCTGAAACCCAAAAGCTCAAGATCTTCCAGCCAATTTCACTTTTGTGCCAAAAACTTGTCACAGGACCAAAGTTTTGTCGTGCCACTAATTCAAATACTCAAACTTGGAGAAAATAAAAAAAAAAACTTATTAAAAAAGACTTACTTTAACAGAAACCTCACCAGTCAGCACTCAGTGTTGCAGTTGCTTTTGGCTGTTAAAGCTTCACTCCCTGACATTCATGCACACCTCCACTCTTGCCTTCTCTTTCAGCTACATGCACAACCCCAGGATTTCCAAACATTCATTTATCTGCTGTCCTGTGACGTCACTCCTTCAGTATCTGACTTCCACTGATTCACCACTTCTTTATTGAAACAAGTCTGGCATTGCTTTCCCTCAGACTCCCTGCTGACTGCTAAAAACCATAAGTAAAATGTTTCTCTTCAGTCTCAATGAATTTTATGACAATACAACCCAAGTCAGGAGCCACACAATCATGTAATTTTGAAACTGACTTTATTAAAAACAAGTTACATATTTAATGTAGTTATGGAGTCACATTTAGTCCATTAGGAATTGGACAGGATTTAGACAGAAATACTGTACATCTTTATTGAGTAAAAAGATAAACATGATTTGGACGTACATTTGATTCTTAAGAGCTGAGGGCAATGTACATCAGTCAAGCCAACAGTTTTTGCTCCCCACAGCGCCTTATGTTCAGCTAATATTCACACTTGGTACAGCCACAACATTTACTGATGATCAGTTACCATAATAGTGTGATATCCTCCCTTCCACACTGATCATTTGTTACAATGTCACTGTCTCCCACTTAAGAACTAATCTGCAAAGATTTAATGTGTAACCTCTGCAAATATAAATTTTTAATGATAGCATGATTAAGACAGAAAGGCAGTCATACTTTAAGGCTAAAATTTAGTTTCTCTCAGAGTCCTAAATTCAGCCTAGTATAAAAGTGAATATAATGTCCTCCATTTCATCACAACTGCTCTGAAGGTGCTTCTGTTGCCCTTCTGCTAGCCATTTGAAACATCTTACCTTCTGGCTAACACCTTCCCGACTGTCAACTATTAATTTTAAATTGGTTATTTTTAAAGCCTTTATTCAAAGTGAATATTCAGAATTTTAAAATACAAGGTATTTACATTTAAAAAAGCAGCAACATTTCATTTCTCCCCCCCCCCGCAAGATGAAATATTATGAGCAACTTATTTGCACATTCAATTGTAACAGTAAGGTGGATGGAAAATTTCATTTTAGCAAGTTGGTATTTGTCAAAATGGTTCACCATTTCTCCTCCTGTCAAAAGAGGAAGGTTTTACTTGGAATTACCCTTTAGCACACTAAATTAAATCTACATTTTTTCAGTTCAATTGTCCTAAGCTTTAAGGTAGTATTCTTTCCATGGAATGACTATGTTTTTCTTTTTGGCTAGACAATTTAAAATTAGATTTTAAATACACAGGAAACTGCAATGGGCCATGCAATAGATCGGAATTTGAATGGTTAGAAGCCACAGCCTGAAGAACCTTAGATAAACTTAGCTATTTATAAGAATGACAACAGACATGCCACTTTCATAATGCAGATTAAGCTCGGTTAAATGCTACATTTTTATGATACAGGGGAAAATGGAGTGCTGCAGACTTCTAACATTAGCATAGCTGAAGAGATTTTTATTTCATCACCCATTAGTTCAAACCTAAAACAGGACAATATAAAATAACAAAACACTACATGGTAAAGTTTGTGCAAATTTGTCTTATTCAGAAGCATCCATGGTTACACATGGCAACTGCAAGTTTGCAGAAACAACATCTCCACAGAATGATTTGCAAATTGCTGAGAAAGCTCTTAGCCTGCCAGTATTGTACATGATTTGAATGCTGCAGAAGACGACAACGATGTCAAGAAGTACAAAATACCTCCAGTTTTCTAACATGAACAATTCTGTATTTCCAAAGAGCTACAAGTCTCGCATTTGCTGCTGCTCCAGATGCAAGTGTGTTGTTAAGGATTGCTGCATAGCTATGTATGAATGAAAAATCTTTTTTTGGAACAGTAGCAAGAGGACTGAAATTAAAGAAAAAAGGTACAATAGCAAAACAAACGTTTCAAGTGTCAGTTTCTCAGAATTTCTGTACATCTTTCTTGGTTCTTAGAAACAAAACATATCTGTCAGTCAAAACTCAACGTATTGACAGCACATCTGGAGCTGACTAACCATCCTGCAGCTATTTGCAATAGCAGAAGTGTGAAATGCAATCCAAAACTCAGGTCAGCCAGCCACTGTGTTGAGTAAGTTTCAGTCTTGTTTTCTCCACTCTATATTGTAGTTTGTTTGTTAAATTATCACTTCATGCTTCTTTGCCAACGAAGAATTCCAGCAAAATATAGTATACACACCAAAGAGAGACGCTTAAATTAATCTTCGATGTGTTTTTTCAGTTATAACTATTCAGCTTTATATTTAAGGTTCTGAGCACTTGGTTTGTTAATTGATTATATTTTACTTTTACTTTAAAAAGAAATGGCTCAAAGTAACATTTGAAAACATACTTTTGAGAGATCCACATTTCCTTATGTAGCCCAAATCTTTGAAATGTTGCTAGCAGTAATACTCAAGTCACTCATAAGTCAATATCCTTCAACAAAAATGTTGGACTCACTAAAATGTATGATAGCACAAGCTTCAGTTGAAATCATAACTTCAACCAAAAATTTGCTTTTCAATACACTTTTGGGTTGCTTCACCTATCTCATAACTGATTTAAATCTACCTGTGAATTGGTGGACGTTTGTGCAATCTTTCCACACACACTTTGCACCTGCATGGATTAATGTCTATCTGCAGTGGTTATTAATGCTGGCTCTTCTTCAATGCCATGAATGCTTTTGCCCTATAAACTACCACTAGCACAAATGAACAGTCTCCACTCACAGAGCACAAAAAAGAGAGAGAGTGGTGTGGCTGTGTACAAAACTGAAATTTCAATTAAAAGAAAACCTGCTTCGAGATTACAATCTGAGTAAAGAATTACTGTTTACAGAAAAAGTATTTTCAAAAAAACTTGAATCTTCATTCTAAACATGTACTACACAAAAAAAATTCAAGGGTCATTACTACTTGCACCCTTTTGTATTCAGATCTACTTAAAGCAATTCTGTAATGTGCAATAATGGCAATTAATGCCTAGTGGCTAATCTTGTTGGTGCTTTACCCAGGGAATTCTATGTGCCTTTAACTAAGTCAGTGAACCTAGCACCTTTAATAACAGAATTTGTAGCGCGACAGTAAACGGCACCATTTCTTGCTCACAAGCAGCGAAGTGCTTCAGTATTTTACTTTGGCACACAGAGTCCCATTCATCGTTTAATCAGAAATATTCAAAAATAGATATAAAATGAAGGTGACATTAAGTGCATGCAACCAAATTTGTGATTCATCAAAATAGTTTGGTCCACTGGTGAAGTTCATCAGCTGTAATTTGCTGATTGCCCACAGTTACATATTTATTTCAAGTAAAAAAAAATTGCAGGAGTTCAGGAGAGACTTTACCACACGTTCCGATTCCACACAATGAGGAGTGGGTCTTACGCAATGGGAACGGCAGTCAGTTTGTACCAGTTAACAGTTTCTTTGCTCAAATCAAACTCTTTCAGAGTTAATGTGACACCACCCAAGTAAACATTCTCTCTCAACGATTCTGCACTTAACACACTCAGCTGCAATTTCCTTTGTTCAAGCGATTCTTTACTGTAACCACTGTACACCAACTAAAAGAGGAGAGAAAATACCGAATGAAATTGGATGTCATAGATTAATGCTTTCATCATCTGCACTCTGCAACTAATTCCACATTAACAACTTAGAAATATTTCAAGTGAACCAAAAGGATATTTTGGTACTACAAGTATGTCACAAGACAGCTTCAGGAATTTTGATACTGCATACAGCTCTTTCCTTATGCTAGGCATTTTTCACGATAGTTTGTCCAGTGGTCCTAATGTAGATGTAGGCTAATTGCATGAAAAGTTTATTTACAAATGCTCTATGACAATAGTCCAACCCATAGCCAGACATACCAATGACACATTAGCTTTGTTTCTACAGACTTGTGCTATGCCTTATTAGCATTAAAATACAACTTGCCCCAACTCCCCTCTCTTCACTCAAGGAGCATTTAGGGATCAAGAAAAAGATGTGTAATTGGATTTTCTGTTTCAGTGGGAGCTGTAACTCTTGACAGTACAAGCCCCTCAGAGTTGAAGTCTGGGATCTACTTCTATTCAAGGTGTTACTAAAGCTGACAGTTGGCAAGATTGTTTAAGAAATAAGAGATTGAGAGCATTGTATAAAGCTACATCATTAATGTTGTTCTGACTTTAACTTTGGCAAATAAAAAAAAAAATTTAAGAGATCTAGAAATTAAAAAGCTGGTACCAATAAAAGTGATCATGAAGTAATGCAATAATTGCTCACAAAAAATTCAACCGTTTTAATAATGTGACTTCCCTCGGCTGTTTAATTAACTGCATCATGTTCTCAAAGGGCAACTAAAAATAGGCAGAAATGCCAACATTACTTGCAATGCCTTCATCCTGAGAAGGAATTTTTTTTCCTTCAGTAAACAGGATGCTGTGTCAGTGTCAAAGTCCTAGCTTGGGCAGATTGCAACTGCCAGTCGACAAAATCTGAAAATGGATCTTCTACTATTCAGAGGCGTCAAAGCAACAACAGCATTGCTGCTTCAAAGAGAAGTCTTGCCCCATATGCAGGGACAGTGAAATCACCCACAAAATTCATAATTTTAAAAGTAAATGATCTGTTCCCGTAAAAGATTTTCAATTGTCACGAAGTTAGCATTTTTTGTCTGAACAAATAGGATCCAAATCAGTGACCCTGGACAGCAAATCACATTGCCAGTAGTAAGCATAGACAATCACAAGGTGGCACCTCAGACTAAATTATTTGCTTAGATTAGGCAATATTCTTACGTTCCTTTACAAACAGGTTTAAAACTGTAGTAGGAATTAGAAATAGTTTAATCTGCCAGCTTCAAGCCATCCATTCATTCAAAAAGATCAAGAAAGCAAACTTTCAAAGTTATACAAGATTTTTAATAAAAAAAAACTTAAAACTGCAGAAAAGACCAGGATACTAAATGCTAATGCTTACCATTTCATTGTAAGTTGGGTTTTGAGTTTTCCTTGATACCTTGGTTTTATGCTTGGTTATTTTATGTGGATCAGGAAGCAAATATGTTTTTACGTAAGGGTTTGGGTCTGCTCCATCTTCCGTGACCTGAAGTCAAAAATGAGATTGCTAACCAAAAGTTGACACCATAGAAAGTATTAAATCTTTTGTCAGTCACTGCAAGTTACATGCTCACTGAAGATTTCAACATTGCATACTGCAAAATGACCACCAAGGTTTGTGATTTTAAAACAGTTCAAAAAAGGTAGGGATAGGCAGAAACCAAGAATAATTATGTTCAGTGCAGCAAAGAAGAAATAGAGGATGAACTTCCATAATCCAGCAGCCTTGAGGCTGCATGTTTACCGTACCATGGGAGGTCATGTGTCAGGGTCAACATGGAGGTTTTTAAGCATGTTTTAAAAACATTGAGCAGCATGTTGTACAATCTTGCTACATTGTTATTAGATTCAATTCAAATTTCCTTGCATCAAAATCCATTTTGTTTCACCTGTGCACCAGAGGCATTTGTTCCTGTGCATTTAATTTTTATTTGTCTTCCTCACCCAACAGTGAGCAGCGAATACATGTTTTCTAACTGAAGCATTCAACAAACACAACCTGAATTAAGAGTGGGAAAGAAAACAGCATTTCACTAAAACAAAATGAATGCAAACCATGACCTTGGTGACCTAAACAACAACTGTACAGTTCAAAACCAAAACTGGAACTGTATTACAGGAACTGGACTGCTGAGGATTCCAGACCAGTGTGCTAGATTAGGGAAGTACAATCTGTAGAATGAACAGGGTGAATGCAAAACAAATGGGAGTTGACTGAATGAAAATAGTGTACACAAGTGCATATGAGGGGAGGGAAAATAAGACTGCACAAGGAATATAAAGGGTGAATACATGGGACAGACAGCATGTGTGTGTTCCACCATTATCTAATTGAGTCCCTTGCAGGGGAGGAAATATGTAAAGGGGAATGGTTTGATAGCACCCTAGTGCTCAAAAGAGCACAACCTGTACTTACCAAGTCTCTGATGTGCATTACCATAATGAACAGTGTATTGTTTCTGTATGAGATTGACAGCTTAACTTCTCCTCCCACTTGACCCGTATTGGGAGTTGGCAAAACAATTTCTAAAGAGATATAATGTAAAGAAAATGCAAATTATACATAGGAGAGACACCAATATAATATGCAAAGCGATGAATCATGAAACAATATCTTCAATCAGGATTGTCTACATAACGAGAGTCAAATTTTCAATTAAAAACATTTCAACTGAAAACAAAATCTCCTTTTGACAAACAGTTTATGGGGCTCAAAGCAGTTACAAACAGAGCTTCACAAGTGAGTGTGAGCGAGAGAGCCAGCATGAGAGCGAGAAACAAAGAACTGCGAATGCTGGTGGTCCAAAATTGCTGGAGAAACTCAACAGGTCAGGTGGTATCTGTGGACAGAAAACAGTGTTAACATTTCAGAGTCCAGTGACATTAACTTAGAACAGAAAAAGTTGGATGAGAAAAAAAAAAGCCATGATCCTGCTCCTGATTATTAAGTAACTGTCCTGGACTGTACTTGCATTGATATTGGACAAAGATAGGATTGTCAATATTGCTCAAGTGAAGTATATTTTTCACACATTCAGCCTAAAAGATTTTGTCAGTTTGGGGAAACACTGTAGAGTCACTTGTACTGCATGAAATGCACCCCTAATTTGTGCTATTGCCTTTAGAACATGTGCTGTGAACTGTGATTACACTCAGGTACCAAAAGGGCGAGGTCCAATCTTACATTCAGCACGGAAATAAAGCTTTAGGTTGCAACAAGAGAAATGTGAATAGATTAGGTGTAAGAACCAAAAAAGGAAGAAAAAACAAAAATGCATTCATTCTTTTCTTGCATTTTGCTGAAAAATACATTTAAGATTTTTGCCTTCTACTCATTAGGAAAATACAGCCTCCCAGTTTGTATAGAAGCAAAGCCAATAGAACTTACCATATTACATTTTATTGGAAGTTAAATCAAAAGGTTAAGTAGTTCCCTTAAGTTTGAAATAAAAACAACTAGCTTTTCTGAACAATTTTGCTTTCTTTTCTCTTCCCATCTTTTGGGGTGGGGAGACTTTTGCACTCCAAAATCCTCTATTTCTGATTATGTGCAAAGATGACAAACGTGGGAGACAAAATGAACTAAAAATAATGAATTTGGAACTACAGGCTGCTCACAAGACCTTTGAAGAGAGACTCTCGGTAATTCTGTAGAGCAGCTTCTAAAAATGCTTACATTTGGATCAAAAAGTTATAGGACTGTTAATCACTGGATTAACATTGCAATTTAATCTTGTATTCAAGAGCAAAGCTTAAAGCAACTGTCCGACTTAAATTTGCAAATCTATCACGTCTCATATTCTTTTAAAGTAAAATTATTTTTCTGTCAACGTATTTAACCGAAAAAAGAAATACAACAGTGTGGAAGTTACTTTCAGAAAGACTTGTGAACTGAAATCAATCACATTACCAGGAATACTGCACCTGCAGCAAATTTCTAGAGGTTAACCAAATAACATTAGGTTTACTCATTGCTTAGGCTTCTAATGTATTAATGAGGATGGCATGGGTTTGACAGTATTTTGCCAGATGCTTCAAGTTAAGGAAATCATGTAAACTTGCAGCATGTCCTATCTGCTATCACGTGGGATTTCTGAACACATCAATATTTGTTTAACAGGTCATAACACTGTAACAATGTATATGGAATTTATGTTTTATAAAAATGCAGAAGACTTGCATGTTGAAGCAAGTTCTGATATTCCAACTTGGTAAACATTGCATCACCAAAGGTGGCATAACCACAATACAGTACAACAACAAGGTGCAAGCATCTTATCAGCAAAACTATACTTGCATTACCAGTGGGTTTGACGATTCCATCAATTCCTTCAGCCTTCTCATCACGGCTTAGTGGGTGGAAGAAGGTGTAGATGAGATCGCACTGAGGGCAGAAACAAAACATATTTTTAAGATTTCAGCTTTTGCTCTGCAGAGTGTGCACCCGTGATGGGAACTGAAGTGGGGGGCGGGGGGGAAGAGAGAGAAAAACAGAGAGAGAGAGCGCACGAGGGAAAGAGAGAGAGAAAGAAGGAAAGAAGGAGAGAAAAAGAGAGAAAGACAGAAAGAGAGAGAAGGGAAAGACACACACACACAGTCAACTTGAATTGTGAACAGTTAGGATTCTGTACTTCCAGCCATTCCTCCCTAACCGAATGCAAGTTTTTTTTTTATTTTTCTGTTCTTTGGATTCATTACACCAGCCTCAGGTGATCCAGCAGTGCTTTAATCAACTACAGTCATAGGGTCATGGAGGCACACAGCATGGAAACAGGCCCTTCAGCCCGCCACGTTTCCTAAACTGAACTAGTCCCATTTGCTGTCCAAAATGTCTTTTAAATATTGTAACTGTACCTAGCCTGGCAGCTCATGCCATTCACACACCACCCTCTTGTGGAAAAGTTGATCCGCAGGTCCCTTTTAAATCTTTCCCCTCTCACCTTAAACCTATGCCCTCTAGTTTTGGACAACCCCACTTTGGTTGGGGGGGGGGACGGAATCTTTGCTATTCACTTTATCTATGCCCCTCGTGATTTTATAAACTGCAATAACGGTCACCTCTCAGCTTCCTACAATCAAGGAAAAGATGTCCCCACCGTATCATGCCTCTCCTTATAACTTAAGCCTTCTAGGCTCAGTAACTTCCTTGTAAATCTCTTTTTTCAGTTTAATAACATCCTTCCTTTAGTGAGGTGACCACAATTGAAGCAGTATTCCAAAAAAGTGGTCTCACCAATGTCTGGCCAATGAAGGCAAGTGTGCCAAATGCCTTCTTCACTACCCTGTCTATCTGTGATGCTACTTTCAAGGAGCAGTGTACTTGCATCCCTTGGTCTCTGTTTAACAACACTCCCCAGGGCCCTACCAAGTCCTGCCTTGGTTTGTCTTAACAAAATGCAACACCTCGCATTTACCTGAACCAAACTCCATCTGCCATTTCTTGCCCCACTGGCCCAGTAGATTAAGATTCCATTGTACTCCTCACTATCCCCTACACCAGTTTTGGTCTTGACCATAAACTTACTAACCATACCTTTTATATTCTCATCCACATCGTTTGTATAAATGACCAACAACAGCGCGCTCAGAAACGATCTTTGTGGCACACAGCTGATCACAGGCTAAGTCAATACACAAAGCAGGCCTCACATATCTTGGAGGTTGGGTTTGCAATGTCATGCAGGGTATTGTGGGAGAGAACCACTATCCATGTATTTCATCGCACTGGCCTAATCCACCTCAGAGATTGATAACGAAAACTGATAAAGAAAAATGCTTTTTTCTATCAACTATTTACTTTTACCAGCTCCAATACAGGACAAGCTTTGTGACCTGACAGTCTTAATTTTCTTCCTAATTCCACTCAATTCTTACCTCAGCTACTTCCGCTGAACCATTCATCAGACACTGGACGTAATTGTTGAGCTCTACCTTCCGCTTGGAGGCCACGTCCTTAATGTGTGTTCGTCCAAGGACCACTTTGTTGGGAAAGCTGGAGAAACAAAGGCTTGTCTCAATTGCTCAGAACAACAGGGAATTAAATCATGAATTAATGAGCAATTTCCTTAAAAATATAACCTACCCTGGAAGTTTCCAAAGGGGGAAAAGGATGCCCAGTTTGTTATGGAGCTCCTGGAATTCATCAAACGTTCTGAAGATAAACGCTGGAGCAATCTGCCCTTCCCGTAATACTCTCACCACATATATCTGTGGGTAAGAATGAAAGCCATTAAGCATTTCAAAACAACAACCTAAGTAACACAAAATATTATGTTTGATCAACCATCTCCTGAAAATAATGTCAGCCATAACTGATTCATTAGCACTCTCACATCAAGGATGATTCTCCAGAAGTATGGAGGGAACTGTCAGAGGCAAGGGATCTGGATGAGGTTTTAAACAGAGCTCTTCTGCTTAGGTGAATGCAACAGATCACATGGCACCTACTTCAACAAAAAGAGCAGGAATCTTATCCCTGAAGACATTGACAATCATCATCTTTCAATCGTGAACACAAAAATAAATTATTGTATTGTAGGAACTTGCTGGAAGCAAATTGGCTGTCATATATTCAATAGTGACTACACTACGCAAGTATTTTGTTAGCCAAGAAACATTGAGGCATCTGTTTATCTGCAAAAGACACTATAAAAACACAAGTTTACAAAAATATGCTGGAGACATGGTTATGGGCAAAAGCATACCTAGCCAAATAGCAAGGCATTGAGAGTGAATCCAGACAGCCCAAGGGTCAGTATCAGAAGAAAATCTGATCAAACCAAAAATCAACATATCTGTACTTTTCATAGGCAAATTACTTGAAAGCAGCAATCAAATCCATAATAATCTTTCACTTCCTTGGATGAAAAAAGCTTTAACAATAGAATCTTCACTATGATCCTAGTGAATTCATACACCTGAGTATTGAAAATGACCCATTTGTTTGTGGGGCACAACCCAACACATGACCTGTTCACTTAAAAAAAAAATAAAGAGTTAAAATTGCGTCACCTAGAAGGAAAAGGGCAGATGCATCTGAATACCACTAACTGCAAGAAATCCTCCAAGTCACACATCTTTCTGACTATGATCTATTGGGAGTCCATATGGCACAGAAACAGTTGACCATTCAGCCCATCAAATCTGCTCCACCATTCAATGAGATCATGTCTGATCTGATCACCTTCAACTCCACTTTCCTACCTTTTCCCTATATCCCTTATTGATTAAAAATCTGTCTATCTCAGCCTTGAATATAATTAATGGCCCAGCCTCAACAGCCCTCTGCCTGGAGTTGCCCTTCATTCACTATCACTGGGTCAAATTCCTGGAATGCCCTCCTTGCCTCAACTGAAGAGTATCCCTACCATCTTTCCTGGTTGCCTGGTCTGCAGCAGTTCAAGGCACCAGCTTGCCTCATTCTCAAGGGCAACTGGGAACAAGCAATAAATACTGGCGTATCCAGCAACATCAACATCTTGTCAATTAATGAAAAGAAATGGAGTTCAAGATTTGCTTCCAGCATTCAAGCCTTGATCAAGAAAAAAAAACTACAAACTGTTTATTTTGCACAAGTGAAAAGTGATGAAATGTGCATGACTCATATAGAATGATTGATTTCTACCTGCAAATCACCAAGTTTGTTAGCCACTCACTGTTTAGTATTTCCCTTGGTTTAAAATCTGACACATGGTACATTGATGAGTGAAATCTATAACTCATTTATTGCACTGCAAAAACTGCCTTGTACTTACATAGTATTTGTCTGGGTTATACCTCTTCTGGTAGGTGTAAATAGTCACTTCTTTGATTCGCCCATCTTGCTTTAGAGAATAGGTTTTAGGAGAGAATGAAAGCATAGCTTGTTCATTGGAAGGTAAACCTGAAAACCGTAGCTGTGCCAAATTGTGAATCAGAAAATTAAATTTTGTAGCCATGCTGCCCAAGCTGGATTCTATCAACCTAAAGTGGAAAAGAAACAAAAATGGCATCAAATTGCATCCATTTTAATTCAGGTTGCAAGAACTAATAAAAATCGTATTGGTATGGGCTTACAATATCCTAGCGTCATTCATGGAGCCGACAGCACAACTCCAAAAAGGTGACCTGCTGGAGGATCACTCTTGCAAGCATTCAACAGCAGCAGGAGCAGCATAAAGTCACCCACAATCACTGTCAAGGATAACTAGGAATGGGTGACAAATGTTGGCCTGGCCGGTGACACCCACATCCGGAGAAACAAATAAGAAAATGATAGTCATTTGTGTTTTCCAAGTTGTGAAACTCAAGTTTCAGTCCATCTTACATGGATGTATTGATAGGATTTCAGTAGTTCTCAATGTACAACATTCCTTATGTGAGACAACAAGGTGCAGGGCTGGATGAACACAGCAGGCCAAGCAGCATCATAGGAGCAGAACATTCCTTACGTAGTCGTTTCTACCTCAATATTTCACAATTTGTATCATTCATTTGTGATTCAACTTACCTAGTGAAGAAGATTGTAGCTTCAGCATCAGTAGTCTGTGGCTGCAGAGCATCTTGGACATACTTCAGATCCTGCACAGAAGTAAGTTCTGGTAATCCAGAGGACAGCATCTGTAAAAGATAAGGTGACATGATAAATCAGGAAGTATTTTCACTACTCTTTGAATTTAAAAAACAAAAAATCACCAGATGTCAACATGGAGATTGGTCTAACAGAAAAATATGAAACCATGGAGGCATTCAAAATCTTTACTAGGCATATAGGAAAAGGAAAAGGCAGAGTAGAGTTCTTTGAAAATTTTTAAATTAAATCTTTCTATTTCTTTTCTCTAACCATACTTTTTATTGGTTATGGCAATAAAGTTTCAAAACAGAACTCAGATAACAGATCTTTAGAAAAGTATGGCATTAAAAATCATATGGCCAAAGCTTGTACAGATATCTAAAATGTAAGCAAAGACTTGAAGTTTTAACCATCCCAAATCTTCTTAAACACCATTAAGGAGCTAGCTTACCTGTTATTTAATGGAGTATGCAGCCAAAATTATGAATTAGTGTTTTAAGAACAGAACACCAACTGATCATAGAAACAGAATCATAGAATCCCTACAGTGTGGAAACAGGCCATTCAGCCCAACAAGTCCACACCGACTCTCTGAAGAGCATCCTACCCAGACTCCTCCACTTGCACCCCCCCCAGCCCCCCCCCCTCCCCCCCCCCCCCCCGCCCCAATCCTTGTACCCATTCCCACGGCTAATCTACCTAACATACACATCCCTGAACATTATGGCCAATTTAGCTTAGCCAATCTACCTAACCTGCACATCTTTGGACTGTGGGAGGAACTTCACACAGACAGTAGCCCAAGGCTGGGACTGAACCTGGGTCCCTGGCACAGAGACATCAGTACTAACCACTGAGCCACTATACCATCCCTGATCTGCTGTGCTTCAAGCATTTTGTATTAACTGTTCAACTTAAGCTGACTGCTCTCTCATTCATCGTTTGGGCAGTGCTTACACAGTTATTCAAGGATATCCAAGTAAAAGTTATTAGTTACCAGTGATAGGAGATTGAGGAAGTGGTTGGCATGCTTGCGAATGAGATTGTAGGACTGACAGCACAAATCTACAAATAACTGAAATCGGCTGGTTGGTTTCTCCCCACCATTAATCACATAAGCCATGTCGGAGGTCAGTACAAATGGAGCTCGATCTCTGAAAGAAAGATTAAAAAAAAAATAAGATTGCACCCCTACTCAAAATATCCCAAAACATTGCATTTTTCCATAACATTGTCATGCTGACTAGGATAAAATAAATCAAGGCAAGCCAGATCTTACCTTAAAGACTCACATGTGCAGTTTATACAGCACTCACTGTTGATTAGAAGGAGAAACCTGGATTGATTTATACTTCTATCCAAATCCAACCCTCTAACCCCATTATCAGATGTGGAAAAAGAAAAGATTTGTACCAGCTCTATCCAGTGACCCAGTTAATAAGATAATTCAGCTCAAACCATAGCTGAAGCCACAGACCAGATTGGGCTGTATCACAATATTAATTCTCGTAAATCACAAGGACAGCTTGTTAGCAGACTCAGCAGTGTTAGATGCTAGTACTGGGGTGCCTATAAAAAGGTATAATTCATCTTTGAATTGTTTGTACATCATGTTGGCAAAGATTAGAAAATACAAATTTTAAGGCGGCAATAAAAACCTTCAAAAAAATTATGCGCATCATTTATTTGACCTCTAGAGAGCGCAAAACCTAATCTTTAACAATTTGGCTTTACTCACACGCAAAATACGCTAGTGAAGATATATTTAAAATGGGAATTGCTAATACAAATGCCATTTCTTCTATAAATTACACACCACTGATAAAGTGATAGATTCTATAGCACAACCGTTTCTGCTCAATTCCATTTATGAGTCATTAATTCCTGTTATATTGCACAAGTGTAGACAATGATTTTTGTGAAATAGTTCAAAATTCTAAACTGGGAAATAGAAAATTAAATTAAAAAAATAAAAACAAATTCACCTTCTAAAAGTTCCAAACATTTGTGCATGTCCGAGAAACTTCCCAAAATCTATATGGAACATGTGGCCAGTTGACCTGAGCATGATGTTGTCATTATGACGATCACATATTCCCAGTATATAGGTCGCAACGCAGCAGCCCGCACATGAATAAATGAAATTTTCAGATGCCTGTAGAGTCGAGGGTTTCAGAAAGTTAATTTTCAGAATTATATACGTGCTGAAAAATTCACAAACCTTAAGTTGTAGCTCAAGTCTTCTGACCATAATATCTGATTTTTTTGTAATTAGTGGGGCACATATCACAACAGTAACAATGCTCATGGACCTAGGTGAGATCAGGCCAAAATCCATTCAATTCTCACAAACCTTCAAGTATCAAATTTGTTTTTCTTGCCCCTACTGTACATGAAATTTCCAGCAGCAGTCTGCTCATAATTTTGGTTTGACTATGAGTAGTAGTCCTATGACACCACAAAAATGAAATCTCAGTTAGGACTAGTGCACAATTACTAGTGACTGCAATAAGTGGTAACATCAGACTTAAGGCACACTGCTGGAACAGAACAGGGAGACCAATACTTTGCCATCTGGTAGATCTCTCCACACCCTGGAGAATATTCAATTGAGTAACCAAACTAAATCCAACATTACTCAATATTAAGCACTGCATTGTTAGAGTGCTATACTTGAGGTCAGAGTCAACATGGCAATCATCTGGCCTGTTGAGCTTTTCCAACAACTTTGTTTTTGTTCCTGACTTACAGCATCTGCAGTTCTTTCATTTTTTTTTTATTTGGCAATCATCTGGCATTTCTGAAGGAATTACCATCAAAACAATAATTTGAGGTTTCTCTTCAAACAACACAACCAGAGACCGATTAACTGGTAAATTTTCCTCATTGCTGCTTTAGGATAGCTGCTGCTTTCATCAACTAAATTTTAAAGAATGCAACTGTTTGAAATAACTTGAGATTATTTCTCCCCCCCAAAAAATGTTGAGCACTGAACAAAAATAAAAACAAATATAAACCAGGTGGAAGTAATTAAGCTTCCCAAGTAACGCTTCACCTTCTCATATTCTTCTTCAGTGGCATTGTACTTCCTGAGCCATTCAGCTAGTGGTTTGTCCTTGAATGAGCCAGTCACTCCATATTCAACTTGGATTTTTCTCAGTGTTTCTGAAGCTGGTACAAGTTCAACCATACCTAGAGATAAAGTGACATTAACAGAAGGTAATAGTCAAGATGAGAAACGAATTTTTTAGATTATCTCAGCTCATCCTCCTTCAGTTTGCTATTTAAAAAAATCATGAAAAACCTCAATTTATGTCACTTTTCATCTGACCATGAAATTATGCCCAATGTCTACACCTAAAGATTTTCCTCAATAATCGTTTTTTTTTTTAAAAAAGGAAACAATTGTCCATCTACATTTTCTAATTGCAATGTCTAATATACATTTAAGCATTTTTCATACTTTAGCAAGGCCTCACTTAACTGACTGCCAGCTGAATCAGCAATTTTAAACTTCTCTAATTTATACATTTTGCCTTTTGAGAATTGGATAACGTTGCACAAGGCTCAGGATTTAGGGGAAGTAAGACATTTGTACAATCCTTCAAGCTTGAAGGGAAAGAAAACAAAAAGTTTCCATATTGAAAAAAAAGTGGCATAATTTTATTTCAGTTTCAATCAAGTCACTGTAATGTTTCAATCCCTTCTAACAAATTCAATTGTAATAGAGATAAGAAGTTTAGTGGCTTATGGGAAGTGACCCAACAAAAAAAATGTGCATTTCTACAAGCGGCATTCATTTGATACACCATTACACATTGCCTAAAGTGAATAGTAATTACATGACAAAATTTCCAAAACCTGGCCTTATACTTTCCAGAATAGTAGGCGTTTTTAGATTTACATTAATATGCAATGTTTATTTCTTCAGCCCTGCAAGGAGGAGTTTATTCAGTGTCTCAGTTATATTTAGGGGTGATAAAAGTGGGTTTTTATTAAATCCAGTGCAAGATATATGCAGTGTATGACATTGTTTTGAAAGCTTACATTGACATCAATAGTAACTGCACGGTCAAGCGCAACATACCTCTATCCTTTCCTGTGGAGATACATTTGAAGATGACCATGCGCAAGTCCAACCCTTCCTGAAGCCAGATTTTGTCCATAATTTTGATCATTTGCAGGGCAAGCATGTCTTGTCGCAAATCTTCACCAATCTGCAAGCAAGATATAGTGGCTCACTGCATACTTTAATCACAAATAGAAATTGCAAACTTGTTCATCGGCATTATTCAATCATTTATAACTAGTTTTTATTCCTGTACCATATTAAGCAGAAATCTGGTACAGAGACTATTGCAAATAAATTTGATGATAAATCTACCTAAATTGAAATTGACCAGAGGGCCAGGTTGCGATCTTTAAGTTGCTTCCATTTCAATATAAGTCAGTAGTAAGACCACAAAATTTCCAATTTCAATTCAACTCAAAAGTTCAAAGGCAACAGGATTCCGAGGGTGGTGATGGATGGTTGATTTTTGGACTGGAGGCCTGGGACCAGCAGTGATTTGCAGGGATTGATGCGGAGTCTACTGCTGTTTGTCATTTATATAAACATCTGGATGAGAATCTAGGAAGCATTGTTAGTAAGCTTGCAGATAACACCAAAATTTGTAGAATTGACAGTGAAGAAGGTCATCTAAGAGTACAAAGGGATCTTGATCAATTGGGCCAATGGGCCGAGAAATGGCTGATGGAGTTTAATTTAGATAAATGTGAGGTGTTGCAGTTTGGTAAGCCAAACCAGGGCAGGACTTATACACTTAATGGTAGGGCCCTGTAGACTATTGCTGAATTTTGGTAAGATGAACAAGGGCAGGATTTATGCTGTTAATGCTAGGGTCCTGAGGACTGTTGTCGAACAGAGACACCTAGGGGTTCAGGTACATATTTCCTTGAAAGATGCGTCACAGGTAAAGAGGGTTGTAAAGGTGCCACTTAGCACTCTTGCCTTCATTGGTCAGACCATTGAGTAAAGGAGTTGGGATGTCATATTGCATTTGTACAGGACATTGGTGAGGCCACTTTTGGAGTACTACATACAATTTTGGACACCCTGCGAATTCTGGAAGGATATTATCAAATTGGAAAGGGTGCAGAAAAGATTTACAAGGACGTTACTGGGACTGAAGGGCTTGAGTTACAAGGAGAGGCGGAATACGCTGGCATTT